ACTACAGTAGTTTATCAATACCTCATTTTAAAAGTACTTTTGCCGTTTCAAAAGTATCACAATAGTTCCAAATAGGCCCATTTACTTCCTGAAGTCATATGCCATAATGAACTTGTCTAGTTTATTCGTTAGCTGCCAATTTCTTGTGACTGTCGTCCATCGAAATAGTTAGTTTTTCATCCATCATCCCACCCGTCAGACGGTTTTCCCCCATATTCTCCATCTTCGAATACGAATATAATTGCATTGCGGTTATTAATAGGGTTGGCGTGTTGCCAATGCGATCAGCATCGACAATGAGATCATCGGCGAACCGGACATCGAATGTCTCGAAGACGAAATTCGGATTTGGGTAAAAACTAGAAAAATTTTTGCGGGTGAGACAAAAGCTTGAAATGTGTGAATGAATGAATAACTGTTCAGGAAGAATATATGCAAAAGGAAGAGCTGAATTGGAGGATTGTTATAAAGATGATTTTGCGAATCAGAAAACCAGGAAACCTCATTTCGATCTGCAATTCGGAGCATGTGGTATGAAAAGTTTGAGATCTGTGAGTTATCAAAAACATAATATCTTGAAACTACAGACTTCTTATCTCAGATTGATCCGCGGGGTATGTACTACGGTATCACTGTCGTCGTCTCATTCCATCCATTGTTTATTACAAAAGTAGATCAAGCCTACCATGTGAAATGTTTCTTCGAAGAGGCAAACAAAGGATTAACAGCCGAATTGGGAGTTAGTATGATACCGACGACAGAGTTAGAAGCAAGACATGGAATACCTGGGTGCTCTTATTCTATTCATTCATCCACAATTGATGAATTAGATGCTGGAAGACCAGCAGGACAACCAATTCAGTTTGCGAGAGTTGGAGATCGAGTACTTCACCAATGGCACTGCAATGATCGTTTGTGTTTTCTTTTCTAATCATTTCAAAATGTTAGAAAGATTTCTAGAAATGTACGGAGTGCTGATAAACAATTGCTATGTGACTGACGGATTCGGGAAGAAATCAGATGTAATCGACGACAAAGGATGTCCGATTGATCCGATTCTCATTACTGGAATTCGTTATTCATCAGATTTACAACGTGCCTATGCCGAGTCTTCTGTATTTAAATTTGCTGACAAACCAGGCGTTTGGTTCTTCTGCCAGGTTCAAATGTGTATGAAAAAACATGGAATGTGTGATGGGATTACGGTAGGTATTGTTTTTTATTGATTAACAGATTAGTAAAATATAAAAATTTAACTATTCAGCCACCATCATGTGGTTCAATGTCGCGACTGATATCAGCTCCTGGCGGAGATGATAACGGATTTGAAGAAGAAAAACCACAGAGGCAGACAAAGAAACCACCTGTTCAAGATTATGATTATGAAAATGAGAAACCAGTAAAAACAACAAGAGCTCTTCCAAGAAAAACAACTCCTTCCAATGATTATGATTATGACAATGAGTCGCCGAAATTGCACAGGTTAATTGACTTTGAAATGCTTTCTCCAAACCAAATATAATCTTCCTGAAACTTTAAAAGCTCCATTTTTCCAGTCCAAATTCTCATTCGTATAACAGTGTGACACCTCCATTGGACTATGAAACCGTAACTTTGACTGCATTTTCTCCACCAATCAATCCGGCTACCGTAGGAACTGTATGTTGGATTTCCTCTTTTTCGCCGTATTTTTAATGTTTAGTCTACACAGGAGAGCGTTTCGAAGACCTTCGAAACAGAAGACGACTTGGCATCTTCGGTGACGTCAGAACCGAAAAGCAAAAAAATTGGAAAAAGTGAGTCATAAGCGAGATACCTGGGGGTGAGGGACATCAAGCCGACCGGCTAATTGGCCATCCCCCAAAACTAGTCATCGAGACAAATTGACGCTTGCTTCGGTTATTTTATGTAGGTCAAACATAGCAAATTGGCTTACACTTCTTGAGAAACATAAATCCAGAAGCCTTGTAAAAACATTCAAGTACCATTGTTTTGTTGCAGGCGATTATAATGATTATGATGAAGTAACAATTCCACCGAATCTTACGGATTTGCTCGCCAATCTTCCAGATGACATTAGCAGTGACAGTATTCAGAAGATGTTGAGGTAACAAAAAAGAAAGTGGGATGGAAGACTTCAAAAGGATAGAGAAGACTAGTTCGGGAATATTGGAGACTATATTTAACTCTCATCGAAAAAAAAATTGGTACAAAAACAGAAGAGGATTTTGAAAGGATCATATTTTGAGATTTTTCAGTTCTTTATTAATCACGACCATTTCTAAAAGTACCCTTCAAACCCCGTTTTTCGACTAAAAACCTACAGTAACGCTTATTACCGTAAATACTCTAATAGAGTGCTACCCAAACCATCAATTTTAACCTATATGTCTCATTCCCTGTAAAAGATATCAGAAAGTTGTCAACGGACAAAGTGTTTATCATAATATCAAACATATTTTGTCAGTTGAGCACTTTTTGATATCTTTTATAAGAAACTAGATATGTGGGCTCAAAGCTAAAAGTTTGGATTGCACTCCAGTATAGTTTTTACGCTAATTTCTCATAGAACTTTTTTTTTTGAAAATAGCCAACTTTGAAAGTCTAGAAAATATAGCAGATTCTGTCAAATAAGTCTGAAAAATTTTTAGGCCTAATTAGGCATTAATAAACAAAAATAGATCTCCAATTTGTAGTTGAAAACTGTTTTGTACAGATTCATCCAAAAGAGAAATACTTCTTGAAACCATCAAAGTTCTACAACAAATGTATAACAAAAAACTCACAAAATGCTAGTATGAAAGAGAGAAAATGATGGGATTTATAATTATAGAAAGTCATCTGAAAATTGAAATTATGAAAAAGATTTATAGAGATGAATAGAAGACATTGAAATTTTTAGGGTTACAAAAATGAAAAACCCTTTATATTAGGTTGGCGGGAAAGTCTTTGTCACTTTTTCAATAGTTTATTTCTCAAAGAAAAAATAACCGAATAATTAATTATATTGTCCATCATTATCAACAACATGTCTCCAACGTTCCCTCAATTTATGGATTCCATTGCGGTAGAATCCAGCCGGGCGTGAGGCAAAGTATTGTTTGAGTGCCGCTTCGACCGCTCCACGGGAATTGAAGCTTCTTCCTTCGAAGGCACGTGTCATATCGCCAAATAACCAATAGTCGGAAGGAGCAAGATCAGGAGAATACGGGGGGTGAGGGAGAACATTCCATCCATATCCCATCAGCTCCTGCTTCACTTGTTTCGAAACATGTGGGCGAGCGTTATCATGTTGATAGTACACTTTCTTGTCTTTCAGGGCCGAACGGTCGACTGCTTTCTTGAGGTTTCGTAGTTGAGTAGTGTAGAGGTCTCCAGTTATTGTTTTGCCCTCGGGCAGAAGTTCCCAGTAGATGGGGCCGTCCACTCCCCACCACACAGAGAGCATAACTTTTTTCGGATGAAGGTCGGGTTTGGGGACATCCTGTGGGCTCTCTCCTTCTCCAACCCACTGGGATTTCCTGTGGTGATTATCGTAGAAGACCCACTTCTCATCTCCGGTTATTAGCCGGTCCAGCCATCGATCGCCCGCGTGGAGAGTGAGAAGAGTAATCGAATCGTCGACTCGGCGGTCAAGGTTGGCTTGAGTCAGGTGATGAGGTATGAATCGACCAAAAAGTTTTCTCATTCCAAGAGACTTCAAACCTTCAAGGACTGTGCTATGGTGAACTCCGAATGTGACAGCTAGTTCACGGCTAGATTGAAATGGATCCGATTGCAATGCGTGCTTCAGCTTGTCCAAATCCAACTCACGGGGTCTCCGAGAGCGATCCTTTTCATCGAGCGAGAAGTCATCTTTTTCGAAACGATGGAACCAATTGCGAATAGTATTGTAGTGAGGGGCATGTGTGTTGTACACATTCTTCAAGAAAGTTTCCGAATCCTTCATCGTGGTGTGAGATAGGAAGAGGTAAATCAAAACATGTCTGATGTGAATAGCAGTGGGAACAAACATAACGTTTCAATTACAGATGAGGAGCAGGGAAGGAGATGGGGACTTGTTTATATGGAAGGTTCTTATCACCTTGTTATTCACTAGAGTCGATATCATACACAGCCTCCATATACGAGAACAGTGATTAAACAAACAGAGTGACAAAGACTTTCCCGCCAACCTAATAAAAACTATTTTTCAGAGATTCTGTGGACAATCCGAAAGCTCTTCTCGCCGAATTCGGTAAACTGATGAAGAGTAAGAAAATGAAATCAGATTCGAAGAAATATCGATCCCGAAATTTACGAGAACTGAAGCCTGGAGACTTGAGATCTGGAGAGAAAATAGATCAAATCGAGGTGGATTGGACATCGACTCGTCGTCGTGACGTTCCATCGATTCCGGAATTCGATGGAAACACAAAATATGATAAACCAATGTTAGCTGGACAGCTGCTGATATTTGATTTGGATGAAGAACCACCAAGCGATGTTGGAATGCAAAAAGGTGATAAAGGGTGTCTTGTATGAGGGTGAAATGATAAATTTCAGCTTCAAAGAGCGCTGCATCCGCATGTTCAATTTCAAAGGATGGTTTGTTGGCAGTGTTCGCTGGGTTCGGAGCTCTTTTGGCTGCTCTCATTGCAATTATCGCATTTCTATCGCTTCGTCTCCGAAGTCAATGTGAGTGAATTCTATAGAGTACCTGTAATTGAAGAGCCCCCACACTGTCAAATTTGAGCTAGTTTTTCTTGACTTCGATGCAAGGATATCCATAATGTTTGAACTGATAAAATATTTGTGAAGTTATGATAAACAATCTATCAGTTGACAACTTTTTGTATCTTTGACAGAAACCGAATTGGTTCAAAGTTAATAGTTAAGGGCCCTTCTATCAATGGAAGCCCACCCGCACCGTCAACCTTGAGCTCAATTATCTCGATTTCTGTGGAAGATATACAAAATCTGTCAACTGGTAAAACATTCATCAAGATATCATCAATATTTCATCAGTTGAAAATTTTTTGATATCTTTCACAAGAACCGAGATAGTAGAGCTCAAAGTTGACGGTTTAGCTGATCTTCTATAAAACAACTGGTTTTTTTTAATTTACTTAAATTTGAAACTATTTTTTTCCCCTTAACACTTCATTAATTCATGATTGTCAGTGTCTCCAATCGGTCAAACGACTCCAATCTTCAAGCAGTTTCAGTGTGCTCAAAAACGTTTCTTTGAATCTTCCTAATCCGTTTTCCCGTCCAAATACGTCGACATTCTTGTGCAATTCCTATCCCCCATCGCTAACTTTATTGTTCCAGGGTACCATAACATCTCATTTTCTGTTGTTCCGCCTATTTATAACTTATTTTGACACATTATTGTAGTGATTTCTTCTGACGAAACTATTTTATTCACGCATAAAGTTTTCGAATTTAGGAAAGAGTTTTAAAAAATGTACATAAAAAGGGCTGAAAGGCGCAATCCAGTTGCCACGTTAGAAAAAAAAGAATAAGATGAAAAATGCAATTACAATTGGAGTGAGAGGGCTAGACATATCAACTTTAGACATCATAATACAGAGCAGAAACATTATTTACATCTCCTTTCACTTATCCTTGGAACCATCATAGATAGAAAGGGAGGAAAGGAATCCATTCTCCATGACTTCGACAATGATTTGCTTTGTTCCATAGCAGAATGATGAGCCGAAAGGTTGTTGCTCGTGACGAGAGAGAACGACTGGACGAGGAGAGCTCGAGTCTCCCATGAATTCGTGCGAGAACTCGTCAAACTGAAAAAAGTATCGTGATTTATTCACTCGAGTGTATTGTGTTTGATGATTTTTTTTAGAGTGTTTTGAGATTTTTAAATCTCTTGTTAGACTATTATAGAAAAACTTTTTTTTCACGAGACAACTACAGTAATCTGAATTGAATACTCACCTTGGAGTCGGTACAAATCTCATATTGGTTGTCCTTCAACAAGATTGAGAAGTTGCATCGAGAGTATCTGCAAATCAAAATTATCATTAATCATCGTAATGTCGATCAGTTGTCTTTGCTTTCCGACAATCTTCCGGCATGCCTTCTTCTTCCCTATAATCCAATTGTTCTACTGATTTCTCACGCGATTTTTGATTGAATATTTCTGAGAAAAAGAAGCAAATCGCATCAGGAAAGAAAAGAAAAAGAAACAAGCGTAAACGAAACATGTCGACCCAAAGACTCACATTCCGAAGTCACAATGTCCAGGCGCATTGGTGTGAAGCACAAATTTGATAACACGTTTCGAAACGAAGTCGAAGAGGACGTCCTGAAATTCAAAACTCAATGTCAGGTTCCCAGATTTAAAACTGACGACTAGACTTATATGGGTATCCTATTTCTGAATTCCGTTCCCCCGTTCACAAAGCATGCGTCGCAATTCATTGTGCACTCAAACGCTCAAGAAATTGAAACTGAAGATGTCATTTCCTGCCATCGAGCCGACTCACTGGGAGGTCCCCCCTCTTCTTCTATTTTCATCTCACTGATTCATATACCTCCAACACAGCTCTGCATCGTCCGAAACTCAAAAGCAGCGCCGACCATGTTAATTAAGAGAGACAAGGCAAACATCGGCCTTTCAGGCACCAGAATGGGTGGCTTTCGCCAGATTAGCCATGCCATGATAGGCTTGTAAGCGCCTCTTCAACAACACGAACAGGTGCAATCGTATCTATGTCGTCTCCTCGATCCGCAGGCTCTCTCGGCTCATTTACGGTAATCGTACTGAATGTCAAGTACGTGTTGACATATGTCATTTTTAGCAAACACATCAGATGACCATATCATATATCACCCAACATTGAAACCGTTTGACATGTAACAATTTCATACTTGAAATAGTAGACCGATTAACGATGAAGTGGTGATGCCACCAAAAGTGTCTCTCTTTTCAGCAAACGTTCATTATTCTAAGAAGACTTCGTTTAGGAATGTCTGTGCTGCCAATCAAATTTTCAAGTCTTCTTCTTCTTTCTCCAGTTCTTCTTCTTCTGGTCACTTCTTTTTCAGAGGTCTTTGTTCTCAACCACAAAACAATCGGGAGAGGAAGAAGAAAGCGGTAAACGAGGCATGTATCCCATCTTCAAAACTAGCGGATTGGGATGAGAAGAGAAAGAAGCAAGTATGTTTTGGGCCGAAATTGAATAAATGTATTCCGAGAGTCTTCCCTTTCTTTTACAACAAAATCATTGCTACGGGTCCTTGTCTCTTCTCCTCCTCCCGTAATAAAGGACTCATTGAAAAGTACACATACACACAGGAAAGGAATAAAATACAAAGTGAAACTTCAGATGGGTCCTGCTCCTCAATCTCTTCTCCTTTTTTCCTATTTCAAGATTTAGCCGCTTAAGGATAAACGACAAAGTGGAATACAAACAAAATTTGACCAAATCGAGGTCAGTCGAAGACGATGGCTACTTTGCAGTCATATCACATTCTCAGCTACACAAACAAAGTTCGAATGTCATCATGGGGGAATTTGGATTTAAAGTTTGAATTCGTAAATAGAGTTCGGAATTGAACTCGCAGGGAAAATACAGAGAAGATTCAGTTTCAAGGGAACACACTACAGATGTATCAGAATTTCTCTAGAGCGGCTTAATATTCTCTCAAGAAAGTGTTATTTTCAGATATTAAACAAAGCACAAAGCAACTTCTGCAAACTGACCCCTCTAATCCATTCAAGTCCTTTTTGTCAACCATTTCCCTATTCGCAATTTCATAATCTCTCGGGTGGCGGTGGTTTTGAAACGAAATGTGTCAAGTTGAATAGCACCAATCGCCTGTCAAATTGCTTACTAACCCATCCAACCAGACAGATAGTCCGAATTCAGCATTGTGTTGAGGGATATGCAGTTCAATTTAATTTCGTCGCTCTCCTTCACCTGGATGTCGCAAGCAGACTAAATGTACGGTTAATAATAGGTATTGACCTGACCAGTCCACTCTCATTATTTCGACAAATGGCCAGATGACTTGTAGTACGAGAAAGCGCGGCTTCGTCTTCAATAAAGACTCTTCATCGTGTTGATCATCGTCATCAACATAGAAGGCACCGATACGAATGATTAATTGCCTAAAGCTTTTCACATCTCGAGGTCCCTCCGGAAGAAGTTGCCCTCCTCCCAGTTTGTTCATCATGTCAATTCGATAATCTCACACATTTCCCCGCTTTCAACTCACCGCCCTATTCTTTTAATAGAGGAGCAAAGTCAAATGGGGTTAAGATGATCCAGACGGGATTACTCTCATCCCACCTGTCTCTCCTCTAATTGATCAATTTATCTTTCTTTTATATAATACCACACCGTATATATATGTGTTTTCCCCGCGGGAGTCCCAACACGCTCGTAAAATATTTCGGTCGGTGGCCATCAAACTCTCAGTTGGAGAACTTGTCGAACTTGTCGAAAACGCTTGTGTGCCGTCACCAGTTCTAAACGTCCTCCAGAGAGTTCGTGCATACAAAATGATACATCGAAATTCGGAGGGCATCAATATACAAAGCGCATCTTATTTCTTGGTGAGGGCAGGAACAAACATTCTAAAGGTGTGATAAATTGAGAAATATGTGTCGATCGGTTGAGAGCCAGCTTGACATGTCAATCGGTGTGGATAAATTACCCCCGCCAACGAACACACTTCCGATATTGACAGCCGTCCGTCTAAACTCATCACAACACATCTCATAGAAAAGAAAGAGAAACAATAGGCGCGAACGTGTTGGGATTCACACAATCTTAATTGGTCCCAAAAGTCCATACGTTCGTCGGCAATAGGGTGAGAAAAGAGTCCAAACAGTGGTGGAATTGGGTTAAAGTTAGCCGACGTCGTCGACAGATTCAATCTCAAATGGAAATTGAACACCCTGATTAATGAGTTTATAAGAGAAATGAGGAGAAACAATTTGACACATTTATTCAGAAAGAGAAGAGAAGAAATTTAAGATTCCGGAACCAAGATATCGAACCCAAATTATCCGGAAATGAAAATACGCGCTAAAATCTTCCTAGCATGAGACATAAGGTTCAACAGGGTTACTGTAGTTGCTCACACGCTATTCATCACCCATGTGCTGCTTTCGGTTGACTGATTCAAAAACAGCTCGGGGACCAGTTGTTTGTCCACAATCCTTTCATTTTCAAGTGTACTCGATATGACGGATGAATTACCGAACCGTGCAGCATCGAACACACAACGTGGGACCATATGTCGTCGACAATTCCGATGGTTCTTCATGACCAGTTGTCTTCTTGCATGCTCAATTATCTTCGCACCACGTTCGAAGAAAGCAACCATCTAGTGCCACCACCTTTTATTACTACACCAACCAATAAAACAATGGTCGTAAACGAAAAGCTGCTGCTGACATTTGGAAGGCCATTCTTCCCCATTTGGCAGATTTACCCACTACAGGAAGACATTTTTTCGAATCTCTAAGTTCATGACACCTCTATAATTAGGTCTCCAATCAAAAGAGAACTGGAGAGTTGAATAGAAGAAATCCAGAAAAGAGCCATTGAGAAGAAGAGAGCATACGTAGAACAGGGAGACGATTCAACAGAACCTCATAAATATATAATATCGTCTTTTCAATCGTCTCCAAATCATTTAACCCCATTTTTGACTTTGAATGGCTGACACATTTCCCTCATAAAAAAGAGGCATGCTGATTTTGAGGATGTTAGATCTAAGCTTAGACCATGGTGTTGCCACCCTCTGGTACATGAAACAACATTAGGTGCTGTCACAACACACTCTGTCCGGTCATCCTTCTTCTTTTCATGGGTGGTGTTGACCCTCTTCTCCTCCTCCGCTCTAGGAAGGAAGCTCCGCCCTCTTATCCGCCCTGCGAAGCCAAGCCTTCTTCGCCTTCTCATGGTGTTTTGGCCACGTTTGCTGTTGTCCGTCTGAAGAAGAAGAAGAAGTCGACAATCATCATCTTCTTTGTTCCACATGTTTTGTTACGTGTTTTTTCTGTGGTCCTTTTTTGTGACTTCATCGTTTGCTCTACCATCGTGTCCATCTCTTTGTGAATGCGATAAAAAAGATTCATCTTGGAATGTCTACTGTCGCAAGGCAGTTATAAATGACACCGTTTATGCAGAGGTTCTAAACCAACTTCCACTAACTCTTCGTTCTCTTCATATCCAGGTTAGTTACTTATTCCCGATTTTTTCGAGTCTATTCGGAGATGCAATCTATTGTGAAACAATGTCAATGCATCAAAAACTAATCCCCTATTTTGCATAAAACTCATTTCTTTAGCCTCCAACAAACCGTGGCGGCTCTAACAAACTTCGATGGAATGACAACATAAACCGATTTGCTCAGCTACGCGTACTTCGTCTCATCAATTGTCAAATTCCTGCAATGTCTCGTTCTATTCGACTTCCATCTTTGGAAGTTTTGGATCTTCGTTCGAACAACATTGAGCATGCCACAATGAGCAACTTCGGGGGAATGCCAAAGCTAAGAGTTCTGGATTTATCCTCTAACCATTTGAACATTCTTCCAACTGGAGTCTTCACCTATCTTCGCCAATTGAGATCTTTATCTCTGTCTAACAACACGATTTCGGATCTTTCGACCAACTTACTTCGTGGTCTGAACTCGCTACGAGTATTGCGACTCGACCGGAATCCAATCCCAATTGAACAAATCAACGATTTGTTTACAGATATCTCTCAGTTAGACGAGCTATACTTAAACCACTGCAACCTCTCCTCAATTTCACTTCTGGCACTGGACCGTATCCCACAACTTCGTCAGCTTGGAATAGGAGGAAATGATCTTAAACATGTTCCATCGAAAGAGATGAGATCTCTATCCCAGCTTTCTGTTCTTGACTTATCGTACAACTCGATTCAAGAAATCCCTGCTTGTGCTCTGTGCAACACCAACGTTTCCAAACTTGATCTTTCAAACAATCTCCTTGGAATTGCAAAAGGTTCCCAGTTCAACGAAGACGCTTTTCGGAACATTCCACTGCGCCATTTAGATCTTTCGTTTAATCATTTAGACGAATTTGATTCCAAATGGCTCGGATGGGCTCAAGAAGAGCTTACTTCCATTGCATTGTCTGGGAATCTAATGAAACGTGAGTAAAAAGTACACATTCAGAAAGTGCATCAAAATTTTCAGATTTCGACGAAGTCTGGACACATTCTTTGAAGTCGTTGGTTCATCTTGAAATGGCATACAATCATATAAAATACATTCCTGTCCAGCTCCCTACTCGTTACTACCACTTGACATCATTCAACATATCTGGTAACGAACTCTCCTATCTGCCGGACAATATTAATAATTTGCTTCCAAATGTGAAAGTGAGTTTTTCTTCTTCTTGATTTTCTATGTTTCGCATTTCTTTACGAAATTCGACTCGTAGATAGTGCGGTCACTGCTAAGAGCGCACCACACACGATGTCATTTGAGAACCATCTGAAGACAACACATGGATTTCTTTAGGCTCTCGACATTTCTACAAATCGTTTCCACACCTTCTCTCACACTGACTTGGCATTCCTCAACAATTTGGATCAAGTCTATGTTGACGGAAATCCATGGGATTGTTCATGTGCTATTCAGGGACTACAGGTGAGTTTTTTTTGAGGTTGTTGGGCTAATGATCCGGACTTTTCTCCAGGTACATATGAGAGATCGTTATGCGATGCGACACATCCTCAACTACGAAAACGTCCGATGCGCGACACCATCGCTCGTGGAAGGTCATTCAGTTTTGGCTATTACCGATGTAAGACTCTTTTTAAATCTCCAGACCTAATTGGAATTCATAGAAGCGACAGTGAGGCTCCAATGCGAGAAAATTTAGTTATTGAGCACCAGCCTTACACATTTTTGATACCTCTTACAAGTACCGAATGTTGTCAAAGTTGGGGTTAGGGGCTGTTGTATTAAAGGTTTTATGGCATATTGAAATCTTTTCCGTTCATGTAAACGACTGTGCTGTTCTGTTCGGTGCCCGTTATGGACTAACTCAAACAAGTGAGATGCTCATCCTTCTCGCAGGTGTTCTTCTATTCGCCGCCTTCCTTCTTATGATTCTTGGATGCATATACTTGCTGCGGGAACGTCAATATAAAGGATCCTACGTCACACGGGAGCACTCCCGAACTCCGTTGACCATGGCGAACACCCACAGTTGCTCTTCCAGCACAAATGATACGCATGGTCCGTTGTCCCCTCCATTTGACCCATTTCTAGTTAGTACTGAAACTTTTAAAGCCACTCCACCACTTATCCCACCGATTTCTCCTAAGCCTGGATCATCTTATTTTGGTATTTGATTTCAATATTTTCAACTGTTTTTTTTCCCAAAATTACTCTCCTTGATCCGTGTGATTTTTCAGAACATCTAGTCGTTTGATCTCTTCAACCATTTCCCATGTACTATTGCCCCTTTTATAATACGGTGTTTATTGTACCATTTTCTTTTCCCCTGTTCCTGTTGCATTACTAATTAGTTTCTGTAAATGAATCTACTTTTTTCATTGAAGTGAATCGAACATCCGACTCCTCGAAAAAAGGGAAATCACTCTTTCCGTTGTAAACCTTTCAGTAAAAGTAATAAATCGGTGTTTGGCTGTCTTTGCGCCGAGAAAAAGTGTCCATTGAATCTCTTCTTCGTTGGGGTCAACTCATTTGTCAAATGGCACACAAAACAAATGCATAATTGAGCAAGCGAGAGTGGGGACGGGTCTATGAAACCTGAGACGTCAAGAAAAAACTCCAAAACATGATTTGAGGGTTATGAATTTCTTAAAAGATTTGGCGAATCACAGAGCTGACAGGATTCATTAATTTATGAGTTTCGAAGCCGTTCGAATAATAAATTGATGTGCGAGTGCGCGAATTCGGGGATGTATATTGCACAATCTGTTATGACACGTCGTCCCATTCGTCAAATTCCCCAGTGACATCCAAAACAATTGAGGAAATGAGCCATCTACCAACATCAATTAAGTCATTGGGGGGAAAGAGCACAAAGACAACTGCAAAACTATGAAAATGACGAGCAATTTTCTACATTGACTGGATTTTTCGTTGGAAAGCAGGATGACGGATCGGTGCAAGATCGGGAATAGGTGTAAACATGAATATCCGACCGCAACGACTACATATGTATAATTACTTCAATTCAATGAACGACTGATTCGATGAAACTCAGACACAGACGTACACGATTGATGACAGATTTTTGCTCGAAAACCTTCAACAAAGTAATCCATCTTTCAGAATCAGATCATGTCTACAAAACAGCGCTCCAATTTTCAGATGGATACCACAAAAACATTGAAGAATTGAATACAAAAACACAAGGCCTTCCACTGCAAATAAGCTAGATCGTCTCTTTTTTCAAAAGTATCGTCGTCGTTTTCTTTTATTCCCGCATGGCGTGATGAGGTGAACTGAGGTCGTTGGATTCTGATTCAGTCGTCTTGTTTAATGTAGCAGAAAAGAAGAAAGATGTCGAAAATTCGTACAAGTGTCACAAGAATACAAAACACGGCTCATCCTTCCTCTGAAGTCGTAAATCTTTCCGGACACCATGGGCGAGGAGGAAGAAGGGGAACCACAACCATTACCCAGATTATTATCATATGCGGAGACACAAAGAATTGCGTGTCCATTATCTATCTGTCACACCAGCACACAAATAGCTCTATCCACTAAGAATCCTCGAATTCTCCGATATTTGGGACGAGAGAAAGAGATCATGCTACGAACTTACCAGTCCCATCACGAAGTAGTTGAAGAAGAAGTTTGGTGGGCCGTAAAGAGTTTCCTTGTGAAGACCGCGATGAATTCTGGAGAGCTTAAATTATAGGGGTTCTATATATTGAATTCTTACTTCATCTTATCATCCGACTTGTAAAAAACTTTAGTAGGAGCTCCAAGAACAGATTGAACGTCAGCTACCGAATCTCCGAAGTAGATGTGCCTCTTGTAAGTGGATACATCATACTCGCCGTCCACGATTCTTCCATCTGAAGTAAAGCGTTTTTTAAAAAGAAATTAGATGATTAAGAAATTAGATGAGCAATGTAATCAAATGAAGTGATCTTTTCTTTCTTTGAACAAAGTTTCGTTGAAATAAAAATTAAATATTCCTATTAGGGAATTTCCTAAACACCCAACCCGATTTGATAGTTCTCATGCAATACGATCAAGGTTGTGAATCAGTGAGAACATAATCGAATATTGCTTTTCAAGTACTTGGATGGGAATAAATCCTAGCAATTATGCCTTTCTTCCATTTCATCTTCACTTACTTTGAGTATCGAATTCGATATCAATTCCTACAATGCTTCCGTTTTCCCAGATTGCTTCGATCTTGCGTGTTCTATTCTGACCACAATAGCAGGAGAATGGAGTATCGACTTGTCTGAAAAATTAGGAATTGTATCAAATAGCATATAGTACCACAAACTCTGGCTCAGAAGGATTCTGTCCTCGGTAAATCGACATTTTTGTCAGTTTTGGTTGAGCATTCGCATCATATTTCAGCGAGCGAAGGTTTCCACCGAATCCGGGCTGAAATTAAGAATCAGAATTTTGAAAAAGATATATATTTTGGCTCTTACTCTGACTTCCAAATTGGAGTTATCTCCAGCTGCTGTTGGGAAACAGAAGGATAGTCCTGGCCAACTCTGTACATAGATGTTGTGTTTGTCGTCGTATGATCCTGGATGCGTGGATCCGAAGAATTCATTGACTCTGTCCAACGTAGCCATGTTTGTCGGATCCGAGAAAATTGTGTCACTGAAAAGGAAAAGAATCATTCGTAATCGTGAGAATTTATTCTCACTTGTAGGTGAGACTGATGTTCGACAGATTATCAACTTCGATCAACTTGATAAGTTGCGAGTGTCCATCGAAGTACAGTTTGATGCCAGTGGATCCAATATAGATAATGATATCACGATAGCATGGATCCTAAAATATGTATCGTTGAAAAAAACTCGGAGCTTGATATAAAATTACCTTTTTACTGTATTTCAATTCGACATGAGTCAAGGTTCTAGGATGTTGCTGCATCATCGAAATGCATTGATTGATTGGCATCCCGAGGACAAACTCTAATTGGGAGTTTTTGAGACCAACATCAGGAACCACCTTAAACCTCTTCAAAAGATATTAGATACGGTTGTACGATGAAAAACGCACCGTGAAGCTGAGATCGTTTTCTGTTGACGGATTCTTAGTGACTTGCTGTTTCCCATTCATATTCAAATTTCTGGTTGTTGTTCTAAAAACATATTTTTGAACGACGATGACAGGAAGAAAAAAAATGACAGGAAAAAAAAAGAAAAGAGGAAGAAAATTGAAGTGAAAATTATTGTATGTCGAAATACATCAAACATACAATCTAAATATCGAGAGTGCGATTCTAATTATCAATTTAAATATGACTAAATTTTTTATACAGTTTACAATAACAATTGAGACACTTTTCCGATTCCTAGGAATGATTGGTCTCGGAAAAGAAAAAGGCAGAGCTTGTCATTTTGGAAAAAAACATGCATCGGCTTGATAAATCTAAACCACCGTTCTTCCTTTTTCGGAAACGGTCCCGAACAATCCTCTAAAAAATAGACAAAAAAACTTATTCTGCAATTTTGCGTAGCAGTACTGTTAACTGTCACCTGCGTGTTTGCGGACTCAGTGCGAGCCACCGTGTTCCGAAGAGTTGTATTCACCGTCTTATGCTGCGCACGCTCTCCCACAGAACAATTCCGAACTGCAAATTAATTTTTGATCTACAGAAAAAAAGTTTGGCGCGATCACAATTGCAGGTCTAAACCCATAATTTCAGAATTTTTTATCTGATTTTGTGGAGTTCCAAGATGATTCAAATGATTCTTAAAAAATTAATTAGTGGTTATAGATTGATGTATGGTCGTTTTCCGGAAGAAAAAAATGTCAAAAATGGTCGTTTTGAAAGTTTTTTACAGAAAAAATCTATCTCCTCTTTCAGTTTTTGACATTTCTAGGAGTTCTTTAGCTCAAAAAAACCGCAATTATTTTCTCTACATTTTCTATGGATGAATTTTTAATTTGTCTGATAAAACTTTTTTTATAATTCAAAAACCTCATGAAATTGCACAAAATATCATTTAACCACTAATTAATCACCACTAATTAATATAACCACTAATTAATTTTTTTAAAGGGGGACTCCGGTCAATTTTTTTATTGCATTAAAATGTGTTAAAATTTATCTATTTTCAGAATATTATTGCGAAAAAATTCGAAAAAAATCCGAAATCCCCAAAAAACGCCGTTGAAAAGGAAAAAAATTCAAAAAAAGGTGCCGCCGAGGGACGAGGATTTTCAGTGAGACCCCTAGGCCACGCGAGCGGCGCGACTTTCTTACCGTACAAATTTTCCGGATTTTTCTTGCTTTTATCTCCGACAGGTAAAAAACATTAAAAAACACTGTCGGCCACTTGAAAATAATGCTGTCAGGCGCCGTGGCCTAGGTTTCTCACTGCGCGGGAATTCAAATCCTCGTCCCCCGGCGGCACCTTTTTTGAATTTTTTTCATTTTCAACGGCGTTTTTCGGGGATTTCGGATTTCTTTTGAATTTTTTCGCAATAATATTAGGAAAATAGATAAATTTTAACACGTTTTAATGCAATAAAAATTTTTGGTCGGAGTCCCCCTTTAAAAATCATTTGAATCATCTTGGAACTCCACAAAATCAGATAAAAAATTCTGAAATTATGGTTTTAGACCTGCAATTGTGATCGCGCCAAACTTTTTTCTGTAGATCAAAAATTAATTTGCAGTTCGGAATTGTTCTGTGGGAGAGCGTGCCGCGTTCAAAGTTGATTTCCAAGAGTAATTTCCTGGAAAAACGCTGTCCAAAGCTGCGATTGTTTTCCAGATTTACAGCAACAGTAAACTACTGTATCACTCGTTTTGACTGTGTTCTTCTTGTTGATTCATGTCGATTTACGGCGGGTCTCGAAGCGGAGGCCTCTGGAAAACAATGGCAGCTTTGGACAGCGTTTTTCCAGGAAATTACTCCTGGAAATCAACTTTGAACGCGCCATTATGGAACAATTTTAATGATGACAAAGGCTTATTGGGTTATTCATGAACTCTCGAAACACTTTAGAGATTTTTTGCTCTTTAAAAATTCTATTCGGAACGGAACGTCGAAATTCTAAACATAAAACTGAACTCGTTGGACTCTGTCGACTACAACGCTTGACGGTTCAGTCCCAAGTTTTGAATTGAAAGAAACAAAATGAAATTTATGGTTCAAATAAATCAATACTAGGTTCTAAACTTCTCATTTAAGTGTTATTCGCAACAGTAATTATTAACAATAAGATTCTTACTTAAAATGATAAGTTTAATGAAAGGACTGATGTCTGATACGACATTTTTCGATGGCAAAAAATAACACATGATCGTGCATGATACAAAATCGACATCGGCAGAAAGTGCGATAGAGCGCGCTTCTCGCTGCCTGCCCCTGTCTGCCCGCGTGACGAGAATGGAAACTCAATAACCTTTACACTGAAGCGACAGACTTCATTCTTGGCTTTGTCCTGGTATAATGTTCTCCTTTCAGAGTATAGGTTAAACAGTGAGAAAAGTTTTGGACAATAATGGAGAACCAGAAGGAGAAATATAGCAAACCAATAGTGTCGGAATTTTCGGAAAAAGAGAAACAAGGGATTTTAAAGAAGGGATGAGAAAAATGGGTGACGATCCAAATCGTCTGACAATAAAAGGGAAATCAAAACAAAGAAATTGGGCATGATGGTGCTAAAAAGGAAAAGTGCTTAAAGGCCATAATTGTTGAATTGTCCCGCTGGTTGGCCAGTAGGAGCAGCATTACTCTGAGCATTACTGGATGCATTTACCGTTGAACTGTTTCCATCTTGCCCACCGTAAGCAACTGGGTGAATTTTGAAACCGTAGAGTCTGGAAAAATGGTTTTAACAGATGTAATCGTATGCAAACCCACTTTGGAACGAATTGAGTTACTGGTCGGCGAGGACGAAGATCTGGGTGCACGAAGAACAACATATGTGGAAAGCCGGTGCCGAAATAGCTTCCATCTGTGTGCTGATGACGCGAAGAACGTGGAACGAAGACGTCGTTGCAGCGAGGGCAATACAACTTCACCATGGCCTCCCCAGGAACATCAGATAATCCTAAAATCGAATGTATACATATAATGAAGAAAACGCTAAAATTATACAAGGGATGTTCAAAAAATTTCACCGTTGATTTTTTTTTATCACAGAATAACCTATAAATGCTCTAATAGATTATATACTGGCACTTCGAGTTCGATAATATCAATTTCTGTAATCTACATCCAAAAGTGCGAACTAGGAAAGTGTTGATGATACTATGATACAACTTTTATCAGTTGACAGATTTTTGATATCTATTACAGTAACCGAGATAGCTCTGCCCAAAGTGAAAAAGCAGTGTGGCGTTCTATTGGAGCATTTACGGTATTTCTTCCTAGAAGTTTGCTGACTAGAATTCGTTGGAAATCTTACCGATTGGAAGCATTGGCTGGTTCTCACAGTAGACTCGGGGGCACACTCCGAAATCATTATCACGCCACTTTTCGACCATCTGTGAAATTCCGCGATTCGTGAGGATGTATCTCGCATGAATCAATCCATATAACATTTCAGCAGCTTGCTCAACTAGATCAGTGTTTGTGGCGTTATCCTCTATGTCATCTTCTAGAAAAGGTTACATTGCAGATAGGAGCATTCTTACGTTATCACCTGGTTCAAGATCTAGAATCATGTCGAGAGCTTGACGATACTTTGGGACTTGCTCATTGAGCCCGGTCAAATTGAACCGATCCTGAATATACTCCTCGTCGACCTCACAAAAGAATTCATTCCCCCGAAGCCCGCAGAACCAAGTGATCCATGAAACCTAAATTACAGTAATTTTTCCTAAATTCTATAAGACATTTGTTAGGTGAAACTAAACTCACTTCTTCTGAGCTACTCATGACGTTTGATCCCGACAAGCTTGCGCTTTGACCTGACTGCGAACCAGACTCTTCCTGAAAACTCTATTCGTTGGACATTTTTCTGAAAACTTAAACCGATAAACATACCGAAGTGGAATCAAGTTGGCGCCAGCGAGCAGAAGCCGTGGCGTTCACTTCGATGACTGGCTGAGTTGCGCGCAAAGCACACAACTGCCTGAATTAGGAAAATTGAGTGTTAGTTGAAGGAAACAGAAAGCAAAGATTACATGACGAGAAGAGAGACATAGGGAAAAAGTGAAAAATCGATTGTGGTCGGTGATTAAAATTTGCGCATGCAACTCAACCTTGTAAATGTGAGTCTCACAGCTGAAAAAGCGAGTTGCTGCGAGAGTTGACGAAAGAGAACCGGGCCCAAGATTTTTGAATGCATAGGGGCGCGATTGCATTGCACACAGGTCACACCGGCCAACAATCGATTTGACTAGAGTGCAAAGTGAAAGTAATAGCGCAAAAAGTAGGTAGACTCGATTTTACGAGTTGGAAACAAAAATATGAAAGAAATTTATCCTATATTTTTTACACACTCGCTAGAAGAAACAGAATACGTGAGAAACAAATTGTAAAAAAAATATAGGAGATCAAAATCGGAAAATTAGATTACGATAAGAAAAACTGATTGAAATAGATTTTCAAGTACAACCAATTCCTTTTGCCACCGAATCCGCAAGCTTCAGAAGGACCATTTTCTTGAGAGTTTTCACCTGGAACACATATAATTTTGTTTACATTGAATACTGAACGTTATCATACCTTTCTCATGTAGCTATCGTTCAATGTTCTGCTCTTATCGAGTGTGAATGTGGAGAGAAATGTCGAAAGTTCATAGAGGATTTCTTTAGAGAATGGGATCCCAGTCCGTCCGTCTTCTTTGATAATGGTGATCAAATAGCCGAAAAGATCGTAGTAGTACTGAGTTGGCACATCAGGCATCATAATAAGTGGAATTAGATTTTGAACACAATCCAGAACATCTCCACTATGCATCATTTTGACAAATCTTTGGTACGAATAGAGGAAGGTCAATGATGGGAGAGACAGAACCGAGTTATTGGTTATTGATGACAACACTCGAAGAGCGGCCAATTCGTCTTTCGAACTTGAACTGACTATACGTGATACAGTCCAGTCGATTGTTTTTTTGGAACCGGTTTTGAGAGCCCATGAAAGTGCAGCACTCCATTCATTCTGCTTCAAATAACGAATCGTCATCGTATTGGTTACGCAGCTTTTTGAATCTTCTAAACGATTCGATTCGCAAATTTCAAGAAGTTGTTCAGCCATTTCGTCGTCTTCAATATGCATCCCTTCGATATGAGACTCCAAACGAAGAAGTCCCTCTGTCCCACAGGCGATAAGATATCCGAATCCGATTTCCCATAGTCTCAAAATCAAGAATTGCAAAATGTGTCATACAATAAAAACTTACGGTGAATGTGAAATCAACACACTTGCGTAGTCGAGCATTTGCATTCTTCTCATAACCTCAAACTCAGGATCAAGAGTTGACTTTTGAATAAGATCCACGAGATGGACTGCCAACCATGGATTCGAAGAGATTAGCTGCAAATTCGAATATATTTCTGAAATTTCTACAAACGAACCTGTAGGAAATTGTTGTCGTCTTTAGCTATAAGACACCAGAAAACATCCTTTTCTCTAGCATTTTCCTCCTCTTCTCCAACGAACCACGACCGACACTCAATAGCCAAATCCATGAGCTCGGCATGTCCAGCAAACGGATTCTTTACGAGTACAAAGAACGGTAGAAAATGCCACCAGTGTTGAAGAACTCGAGGCGCTACCGATTGCAAATAACGATCATCCCCGAGAAGCAGTTTTGTGAGATATTTGAGATTCTCGTTGTTTCCGTATTTTCCGCTGGCTAAGTTTTCCCTCATTAGATCTTTCCACTCGTTTACGGTATCTGACTGAAAATTTAAAATGAACAAGATTCAAATGAGCTCTAACTTACTAGAGCCTCGTCTGATAAATTTTCCGGATTGAAAAAAGAGAGTACATCAATAAAAGCCTCCAACTCTGGATTTTTTCCAAGAAGAACTAAAAGCTCTATGCAGTCATTGAAATTGCTGCTTAGAAGTGTGATAGCGACACCTCTCCAGAATTCTTCTGAAGGAGCTTTTCCTGGTGTTAGATCATCAGCAGCTGTATCCATAGCTTCTTTAGAGAACGTGAAAGTTTCGTTGGCCCAAGAAACCATATCAGCACATATTGAACTGTCACCTCTTCCAAACCAAAGTTTTTCATACAGTGACCAGAGTGCGAAATCTGTCATGAAATCTGTACCGGAATGTGCAATCGCTGCATTGTAGAGAACAGATCTATATGCTCGAGAAAATGTACAAGAAGTCGCCGTATCAAGACATCTGTCGGGTGATGAACCTTTCTGGCATTTGTCGAAAACGGAATACATCTCGATGACCAGCCTTCTGATGTTCGGTGTGGCCAAAATTTGTCTTTTCTGTGATACATTCTCTACCAGGACGATATTCATATCACCTAAATTTATACATTGAAACAGAATTATGAAAATGGACAAACCTTTTTTCTTGGCATCTTTTTTATCGGTTAAATAAGCAAAAACTGTTGAAGAGTCGCTGATAGCCACACCGTATCTGCGACCAACATCGGTCATCTGTAAGATACTCACATTGAACATAGAAAAAGTGCAGAATTGTCTGCAAAATAGAAGACGATAAGAGAAAATAAGAATTCCTAAATATCATCTTCGAAACTTTTCAATTCAAATTTAACTGTGCAAGTTGGCGTAAGTGTGTCTGATGTGCATTGCGTACGGGGCATTTTAACTAACGACAATAACCGCTTCTGCAGCCATGGCTTTACTTTTGCAACTTCCGGTACTTTTCCCATCACGGACTATAGTTTTTTGTCCTTTTTCAATTTTTTGGCTACTCACCCAAAAAGAATGCATCTCCTTTTTAATGTCAAAGTTTTGTAAAACTATTTCTAACAGTAAGCTGTTTGACTGTTTATAGATCAAAGATTCTTGATTTTGACCTACCTCGCTTACCGCGAATGATTAGATATATCTTTTTCCTACTTGCAAATTTTCGGGCCGGCCTGCTGTTTGTACAGAAACTGATTTTTAAAAAAATTTTTTCACTGAGAAAGGGCGGGCCGGGCCGGGAAAATTGCCGCTTTGGCCCATCCCGGCCCGTTGCAAGTATGATCTTTTTCTCTAACGCTTTGTCTATCGCCATTACTAATCATTCTCGTTTCCAGTGCAGTCTTCACCGTTCGCCGTATAGCAAGAGCGCGTAATCTTATAAGATATCTTATAGCACGCGGATTTATCCCAGCTTGTCCTTAATAGGCGCACGTCTCTTATTTTTGTTCAGCAATCGTCCGATGATGTCAAATCAGCATACACCATCATTTTCGGCATTATTAAGTACCATTCTTGTATTATTTATCAACATGCTTCGAATCACGCATTTTTCTTCATGAATAACCCTTTTTGGCGATCAAGATATTTATTCAAATTCATGCGGCTGGCGGAAATTCTCCGTTAAAGGAGGCCAGACACGAAAGTCTACGGGGTTTTCTCGGGGCGAGATCATGTATTCTGACGAAAAATCGCGCGATTGCGACCCAATGCGCCCTACTTGACAAGCATTTTTTTTAGTATACACTAAATTTCTTCAATGTTAGGCAACTATTCCCGACTTTTTTTTTAGTTATTCGGTCATTCCAAGATGTCGCCGCATGAAAACAGAAAAAAAAACGAAAACGGACATCTGGAAGTGGAACCCGCGATGCACGACTGATAGACAAGCGCGCTCACCTCTACACCACACGGGGCTTGTCGGCTTCTGACGCTAAAACGATTATGAAACGAGGAGTGGGTGCCGCTTGGAAGAACGGTCGCGTTTTCGCTTGTACAATAACAGGGAGTTATGGTTTGGTGTCCCTTGTTATTTTCTGACTGTACGGTGTCATATATCAAAAAACTAGACTTTTGAAAGTTTTCATGTCTGGCCTCCTTTAAGGACACAACAGCAAGTATCATCTTGTCGGGTGGGGACAATCTTTCTGTTTCATCTAATTTATTCTGTATTGTTTTCTCTCATGTTCTCTTTATCATCCTCATCTTCCTCCCGTTCTTCTATTCTCTCTAATTCCAATTGTTCATTTTAAGAATGATCGGCGATGCTCAGACAATCACTGGGTACTTCGAAAGAGCACAAGTTGCTAAAACAATGGTCGACGACGGTCGATGGAGTGAAGCCGGAGACTTGCTTCGACAGCTTCTGACAGATGTTAGAAGCTACAAAATATCGACGAGTAACAGAGAAGACGTCGAATCGAAAAATGTAAGCAAGTTGTTTTTCCTTCATTATATGAGTTTTTTGCAGGCCTTCTTGAAAGCGCTAGAAGCCAGTATGAAATTGGTACTTCAAAACGCCCGGGACGAAGATGAGCTTCACGACGCCATGACAAGACAAAGTGGCAGTCCAGAACCTCCGGCGGATCCAGATGTGTGGTCAAAACCATCTCCTCCACTTCCAACATCTAGCAAGTACAATGCAAAGAAAGGCGGAACTGTGCCTAAAACCCAACCATCAAAATCTGCCTCATCAGCGGCTAGTTATGCTCCAAGTGCAGCTGACACAAAACCGGCAAATCCTTCGCAAGGAATCCTCCCACCAAACAGCGCTGGAGAATCATTTGATGCTTCATCGTATGATTCGGTAAGAAAAACGGCTAGGTAGTTATCAATGAATATTTAAATTTCTTTTTCAGTACATTGTTCAAGCAGTCCGAGGAACGATGGCGACACAGACAGAAAACACGATGTCATTGGATGATATTATTGGGATGCACGATGTCAAACAAGTTCTTCATGAAGCCGTCACACTTCCTCTGCTAGTTCCCGAATTCTTCCGAGGGCTTCGATCGCCGTGGAAAGCCATGGTTCTCGCTGGACCTCCCGGAACAGGAAAAACGCTCATTGCACGTGCCATCGCCTCCGAATCGAGCTCGACGTTCTTCACTGTATCATCAACCGACTTATCGAGTAAATGGCGAGGCGACTCCGAGAAGATTGTTCGCTTATTGTTCGAACTTGCTCGTTTTTATGCTCCTTCAATCATTTTCATTGATGAGATCGACACTCTTGGAGGACAAAGAGGAAATTCTGGAGAACATGAGGCTAGTAGACGTGTGAAGTCTGAATTCTTAGTTCAAATGGACGGCGCACAGCATAAGTTCGATGAACGCCGTGTCTTTGTTCTTGCGGCCACCAACATTCCATGGGAGCTGGACGAAGCACTCCGACGACGATTCGAAAAGAGAATTTTCATTCCACTCCCAGATCTCGATGCACGAAAGAAGCTCATTGAAACATCGATGATGGGGACACCACAATCGAATGAAATCAATTATGACGAATTAGCGGCGAAAACTGAAGGATTCTCAGGAGCTGACGTCGTTTCGTTGTGCAGAACAGCAGCTATCAATGTTCTTCGAAGGTAAATTTGCTCTGTTTTCATTTCTTTTCTAACTCCTACAGATTTTACAGATATGATACGAAATCCCTGAGAGGCGGAGAACTCACAGCAGCGATGGAATCGCTTAAAACGGAGCCAGTCCGGAATTGTGACTTCGAAGCAGCTCTACAAGCAGTCTCCTCTAGTGTCGATCCCGATACAATGCTCAAGTGCAAAGAATGGTGTGACTCATTTGGTGCTATGTAAATTGCTCGTGCTATCCACCTTCTAAGTGTTCAAAACATGTCAATGATCTCGACAACTCTTTCATTCTTGTAAATAGGAATATTTTGTGTCTGTTCAATTATAATTCTCATCACCCCCAAAGTGCCATAATGTTTATGAAATTGAAGACATTTTCAACATGAATCTTATTTTATTATTGTGGAAAAAGACATTGAGTACAAGGAAAGTAATATGTATTCGAGAATTCCCTTATAAAGGGAATTGGTAATCGGCTAATAATTTGTTAGGGGGAGTTGAGAAAGTCTGTAACGGGTAAGAGGTTTTGTGTTTAAAGGCTATATTGATTTTGGAAATCGGTTAACAATAGAAAAAGATCTGGGAGAAAGCAAATTTTGGAACACGATTCAAAGGATGTCGGGATAAGGAACGGAATTATGACGAACTGTTTGGGATAAATGAACAAAAAGTGTGGCCAGAAGAAATCATACTTTTGGCTCATCGGGGTTAGTGGACGACTCCTTTGGTTCTTCCTTTAGGAGGGGGGTATTTTCTGTGAGATTTGATGTGGATGTGTGCGGAGATGGACGAATCACCTGAAAATCAGAACATTAAATCTCTATTTTGTTTCAAAACAGCAACCTTGATCATAATCGGATCATCGTCATCTTCTGGTTGTTCAATCGGCGCATCTCTGCTTGTAGTAGGTTCAGATGAAGCTGGTACATCTCTGACAAGTGAATTCTTCGAATCTGCAGATGATATATGCTTCCACATTCCACTGTTGTTCACTTCTTTGGTAAGGTTGATAGAATGAGATGGCTCTTGAATAGCAGCGAGTGGAATCTTGATTACATTTCCAGAAGCCATTGGGATATGAAGATGAGCTTCAGTCTTGACAGCATGTATTGTTGCCTGGTTCTCGTTGTCGAATTCTATTTCGACAGCCTCTCCCTGAACATAAATTGGTTTAGAAAAAAGCAAAAACTCATGCGAATAACCTCGCTCTGTCTTCTCTTTGCATCTTCTTTCTTTCTAAGGTGGAAATCAGGCATTGGGTCATCAAGGTACTTGAGGTCGGTTGTAGTGAAAGCTTTCTCCATCATCTTTCGGATAGCAACCATCACAACGAGCTGTAAGTTTTGAGTTTCATTGATTTCAAATGTTGTTCTCAACTAACCATAATCGGGAAAAGAATCGATGTCGACTTGATGGATTTGATCACCCAAAGAAGAGCAAGGCAACCGATTTGGAATGCAGTGAACAAATGAATCTTTTTGATGGGCACGTGGCGAATGTAAATGGTATCCGGTTGATATTTCATTGGCATGAAGAGTAAAAGAGTACGATCAAACAATTGAATTCCACCGAGAGCAGAAATACCCATGTAGAGGAAGACACCATACAGTACTGGCATAGGAATTCGTCCAAGGATGTTAGTAGCCAAGACAGAGAGTCCAATGATGAGGAAAGTGACGATTCCAGTGACACGCTGCTCACGAACTCCCACAAACTGTGCGACTTCTCCTGGTGCTTTGCATTCAGATTCCACTTTCAAAGAGTTGATGTGATTGATAGAAAGTACTGTAGCAGCAACATAGATAGGTAGACCTAAGAATCCGACCATGAGGATTGAGACGGAAAGAACGAGTAAATCGAGATGGTAACCGCATCCTTTCTTCAACTTGTTTTCTTTACGGTTCACGATAACAGTTGTGATTTGTTGGTCCATAAAAATGAGAATGCAGGCGAGGAGGGCCGGAAGAAGAGCAAGAGGAGCAGTCCACCATTCATTTCCATCAAATGGATAAATGAACCATCCGCGTCCTTCCCAGGTTGGCTGAAAATTGTAATTTTAAAAATAAGTCTAAGAATGATTTTTGAAATGTTGACTCACTCGGAAAGTACTTGGAACATTCAATTTCGGGGTGTTCACTCCAACTGAAATATCTACCATGGTCATGGTGACGATAGCAATCATAACAGCGAAATCGGAAAGAAGTTGTCGGACACGAGATGGGAAATAACAAGAGTTGCGCATCTTCTTCAGAGTTGTGGCCAAAAAGAAGGTACCGACAGTTAGTAAAATCGACATGAGGAGTTTGTCATAGAGTGGGAAGCAAGTGGTTCCATCGAAATCTCCGCCAATTGTGCGACAATCAGTGAGATTCGCGGCTGAGTAATCAATGGTAGTTTCATTGAATGGAATTGGAAGGCCGAGGTCCTTGATAATGAGTTTCGCATGTTCCACTGAGACAGTGGCTGAAAACCATAATCGTTTTGAAACAAGACCGATGTGTTTATTTTACCTTTTTTTAATGGAGCTACACACGAACAGAATCCGCCTTCAACATAATCGCGCGAGTAGTTAATCATGTCTAGTTGACCTTTGATCTTAACCAACTTCATAATTGCTTCATAAATGAAAATAACAGCAATCAAAGTGGCGAACGATTCTTCAGTGAAACGAGTGATGAACGATACCAGAGAAGATGCATCGGTGATGACCATAATAAGAATGATCAATGCTGTCCACACGTGAACCCAGAATCGGAAACTCAAGTATTGGATGCCGAAGCGATGGCAGAAGTCATACACAATGGTCTCGAAGACAAGAACAGGTCCAGTAGATCCAACAATAGTGAGAGGTTGACCAGCGAAAAAATGGTAAATGACACCACAGAGAGCTCCTCCGAACAAGTTCTCCATGGCTGCCATTCTTTGATGAGTTGCTTCTTCGAGTAATCCTCCAAAAGTTACAATCGGTGCTAACAATCCGAAGTACATGAAACAGATCGAAGCCAGACATTGTAGATTGAATGCATCAGTGAAGTCAGATACAAAATGAGGAGCTTTTCTTTTGATATCCAGAATGAGACCTCCAAACAGTTTTCCAGTTCGTTTCAAGGCTGGATCGTCTCCATGGGAATGTATTTCTTCTTCCTCGATAACCTTCTTTGCTGGTTTATGAGAGGATGGTTCAACAAGAAGCTCTTTGCCAATTTGTTTTCTCTTTTCTTGAGACGGAAGCTTCGTTGGTGGTTCGATTCGAATGTTAGGATCCCATTCTCCAGGTGGCAGCACCGTGACTTGATCCAAGAACTCGTCAATTCCATCCAAAAGATCGTCAACATCACGGGCACCGTAAGCGACATCGTGGAAGATTTCATCAGCCATGAGTGTGGCGATGGCTCTACCAATTTCTCTGTATTGCTGTCCATGACCAGTGGGTCCCAGAAGCAAGAAGATGAAACGTGTTGGAACAGGGACTTCTGTCAAATCTCCTAGCTGATTAGCGTTCTTCAGACGAATGAAACAGCAAATATGACGGGTGAGGAAATCAACTTCTCCTATCAGAACATTGCTAGCCTCCACACCAACAGGCAGTTTTTTCAAGAAATGAAGATTTCCTTTTGAGGCCTCCTCATTTGAGATATCCTTTGGCACTGATTCCACCTGAATTTACAGAATATCTCGGTAAAGTTTCTAATTTGAATCTCACCGTTGGAAGTGTTAGTTGATTCGATGATCCAGAAGGAGCTCCTGCTGTCTGTGAAGTAACTGGCCCTTCTGGTTTTTCTTCGATTTTCGAGAGATTCTTTCCATGTGAGAATGATTTTCCAATATCAGATATGGATCGTACTGTACTGAGGAATCCACCCTTTTCTCCACCAGCACCATTCTTCTTTGCCTGAAACAAATATTGAATTCATTAAGACCTATAAGATCGAGTACAAAAAAAAGACAACAGCTAGCAGAAATTCAAAAATCAAACAATCTATCCCGCCTGCTCTCAATCAGGTCTTAAACAAAATTGGAAGAGTAAACAGAAGGAAAAATGTTAAAATAAATCCTGGTTTTCTGTGTGCTCTCAACGTCATAACTTCATATTGAAACGAGTCTGATAAGAATAGACTGAAAGGCTATCAGCTGGCATAATTTGGATTATAATCAGAGGTGCAAACTAACAAAGCTCAGAGTAAATCGAAACCTTAACTAATGTTTCTTTCAAAAATTGATTTATCCTCAATGATCGAGTGCTGGTCAAAGCCAAGGCACAAGAGAGTAAACGGAGAAGTCTGGACTGGATGATTTTTAGTGATCAACATGTCAAAAAAGTCAGAGTAAACTCTATTTAAAACCCCACGAATAACTTTATTACAGTTTTCTTACTGATTAAATTTTGGCAACTTCACAAAAATGCCGCTATTCAGACATAATGCTTATCGGTGTCAAAACTCAGGACGAGAGACTAAAATGTCAAAGAGAATGTGTTAGTGAATTACATGATTATTACAAAGATCACACTCTGAGTTTGTTTAGAATATTCACATCAAAATCAAAGACCTGCGAAGAAAGAGAGTGACTTGAAAAGCTTGAGGTGCGCGAAGTGGATGGGCTCGATGCCACTAAATCGTCAAACCAGCGAGAGAAGGCCCAAAATGGCGGCTAGAAATATAGGAAAAGAAGAGACAAGATAGTCAAGACACTCTCCAAATCATTCAAAGGGAAAGGTAGTTTCAAAAGGGAAAGATAAAAACATGAAGCTGGATATAATGCGGATTCGGAGTTATCAACTTACTTGCTCGTATTGATGAACGTGCTTTCGAAGAAGAATTTCACGAAGTTCCTCTCGATTTTCGGCAGGCAAATCTCCACTTTTGACCAAGTTTTCAATGACAGCATCTGAAGAATAATATAAAGATTTTGGAAATAAATAACAGCGTTGAAACTTACTAAAAATAGATGGTATATCGGTTTCGGATAAATCATTCAAGAACAGTCCATTCATAATACAACTTCTCAACTGGAACAATGAATGAAGTGACAAGGTAGCCACGTGGGGCTTTGACCATCGGTTTCCTCCTTGTTCGACGTCTTCTTCGAACTTCACCCATCTCGCTGTTTCTCTCCATTCGTCATTGTTCAGTTCTCCCATTTCCGTGAACAGGGCTGGGGTGTTCTCCTTCTCCTTCAAAAGGAACATGACTCTGGTACCGGGGGCTGAAATGACAATGAGTTTTGTTGTGATCTTGTCTAATTAATTTACAGAAATGATCCGCATTTTTCTGACTAAGACGGGTGATATGTTCACAACTTGCGCAGTATTGCAACATTTGGGATGACTTTGCAGCATAGAAATTAGTATAGAATAACGGTGACCACACAATAGAAGTACTGAGTGCGAAGTATTAACACTCGCTTCTCTTATCAACTTTTCCTATCACCGAACTTTTTGCAGTTTTCAATTTTGATGATTGATGGAGATAGTAGGCGGTGGTCGCCGTTTATGTATCGAAGATAACTTTTTGTTGCCATTTTTGGAGACAGCCTTAGAATGGGGAATAAACTATAAGCCTCTTAAAGATAGTATGACCTCATCAGATGTCGTCAGTAGAAAGATTTAAACTCCAGCATCGTTTTCTTGAAACTCCTCTGGTAATCGGTTTCTAACCAGTTTCGGGAAATTTTCCAACCAGATTGGGTAACGCGCATTTTCAACCAGATTCGGAAACTTTTTATTTTCCGACAAGATCTGGTGATTTTCTGACCAGATCCGACCGAGAAAGCTAATTTTCCAACCTGATTCAGACAATTTTCTAACAAGATCTAGCCATTTCTGCTCCGGAATTTTCCCGGATCTGGTTGGAAACCGATTAACAGAGTCCGTCGAAGCAAGAAACTTCCTCTTTCTTTTGTTATATTTACAGAATCTCCTGAACCACATTTCCTTAATTTTGTATTCTAGCCAAGCTACTTATTACTCATTCCGTCCTCGTTTTCTAATCCTATTCTCTCTAGACGTAACGCAGTTGATGCCAGCGAACAGTTGTTTTGAGTCTCTCGGCAAAAAAAATTCCTCGCATGCTCCTCGTCTCCTAGCTTTTCTTCTTTCCTCTTTTCTTCTCAACTCCGGGACCCCTTCTCTCATGGTGGAAGAAGCATTAGAAAGAGAGGGAGAATGTGATTGGTAGAGCACGTAGACGACCAGCACAAGCCTACCTACTACGCGAATGCTTTTTGTGCTTTCTACGTATGTGTGAGCGCGCGGCGGCCGTTGAGACCCTCTGGCACATTTTGTTGTGTACCCCATGCACCGCCTAACTGGGGACTCATCCGAAAGCTCTGAGAATAGAAACCCAGAAGACGATAATCATGAAGACAGAGACATCTCTAAAAATTATTTTCCTTTTGCGAGTCAACTTCCTTTGTATTCCTCTTCTACCGATCAGGAAGCATGGAAGCTTGAGGGAATTCACGTGGATGCTCTCCAGTCCTCTATCCCTTCTATCACAGAAACTTTGGCAGAATAGAATAAAGATATTGAGAGCAAGATGGGACTAACAGATACATTGAATAGTTAGTTAGAAAGAAAAATAAAATGCGAAAGGCTGTAATTGACAACCTAGAAATCTCTCGTTGAAAACAAGAGTTTTTCCAACTGGTCGATGTTTCGTAGCATTCAGACGATATCCGTTAAAAACACCCGTCTTGTCTTGATAGGGAAATTTTTAAAGTTGAAAAAAGGACTCACCGAGTGAAGATAGTTCGATGCTCTGCGACTCCCGCCTCGCCTTGGACATTCGACGTCTTCTGGAATTTTCGACATGTACACCCATGGACATCCACAAGGATCCCCGAGATTCACGACTTCGTGAAGATGACCCAGGAGGTTCACATGATCGCGAACGAGCAATTCTTGATGGCGATTCGTCTGGCTCATCGTCCATTTTTGAGTTTCCTTTTTCAGGAAGTATGATTCGATCCAGTTTAGACAGAGTATAACGCAAAACTCAAGGAATTAAGAGCCCGATGAAAATGAGCGGCGGATCTATGAGAGCTAAACAGAGAGAGGGAGAGGGCACCAAAAGGGGCGTGTAAGGGAGAAGGAGAGATGGCTTGAAGCCGTGGTTAGAATCAATAGAATAGTGTATATGTCTCGCTTCTGCGTCTCGTTTTATCGAAGAAGCTCTTTTATTTCAAATGAGATGGAGCATACAACAAAACATTCGACTTAATTCAACCCCACCGCTTCTGTTTACTTCCCTTCTCCTCCTTATATCCGTATTTTAAACTGAATCGAGTTTCATCTTCTGAATTGGTTCCTCTAACTCAAATAATTGGACGAATTGACACAGATGCAATTGCCATTAAGAACTTGGTCAGTTCAACTAAGAGGTAGATTCTAATTGAAATTTTAACGTTAGCTTTTGATTTTTTTTGTTTAGTAGTGGTCTATATAAAGGTTTGTCTAGGTCTGAATCCAAAACATTGTATAAGCTCGGAATATTTTTTGAAGAATTTGTAACCCAATTCCGATTTACTGTTTGCTGTGCCTTTCACATTTTTTTACATGAATAAAAGTATAAAAAAATTGACAGTTTCAGCTGAACAAAACTTGTCTAAATCTACCCCCAAAAAATTATTAGATCTCAAAGAAGGTTTCACCCTGGTTTTTTTACTGGTCAATTGAAAAAATTAGAATATTTCGAGAATATCAGAATAAACTTTTTTGAGGTCTAATAACGTTTTTTTCGGTAGACGTGTTACGTTTTGTTCAACTGAAACTGGCACTATTTTTTGGGTTCTTCTCAGATTCATGTAAAAACTTTTACAACTTTTAAAATACTTCACAAAAAGCTAAAGATATTCAAGGGAATCCTTCGCTTATTGTTATAACTCACACAGAATTCGTCATTTTGATATTTGAATTTAATTCACGAAACACTCAATTGAATTCGTCAGTGTCGTCGAGCATTCAGAATGGTTATCTGAAAAAAACAAACTTCAAGTTATAAGAAGCTGAAAAAGAGAAGAAAAAAGAAAAAGGAAGAGGAGAAAAAGAGGGAGAGAGAATCAAAAATTCATAGTGAAAAGAAAAATGGGGGGGGGGGGGGTTGGTCGGGTCCAGCGGACATTGCTGAGAGCAGCCGAAGAGGAGTAAAAGAGGAAGCAGGAGGAGGAGACACTAAAAGTTGTCGGAAGGACGGGCTCAGAGGAGGAGCATGAAAAGTCGAAGCAGTTGCTCTTTTTGAGTTTACTTGTCATGTAGAAAAGAGAAAATTCGAATCGGTGTATGATCTGTTACCATCGTCCAATATGTACCAAGAGGTGCTAGTTGGAGCAACGGCCTTTGGTTCAATTGTTCTACATTACGAATGGAATTATTAATTGGCAAGCAGTGCCTCGCACTGTATGTGTACTTTTACAACAAATGGTTTCATGTTTAACACTCTGATATAAGTGATATAAGTGAACAGAGAATAACTTTTTTGGAAACCTGATATTTTACAGAACCTATTCCAAGTGCCACCTCTGGCATTTCTCAACTTTATATACCATGTCTGCTCTGACTATTTTTAGGTGGTTGAAACGGAACTTTTCTCAAAAAGTAGGATATACATCTTTTTGAGGTGTAATTCGATTTCCTTTCACCGAGCCGAGTGTTGAATTTCGATGTGCGCAAGCGAGCACAAACACACCCGATCCAAGTTATTAACACAAAACATAAACAGGCCAGCATATCGCTCACTGAGCACAGACTAAAAAACAGTGTGACTTTTTTGCTTTCTAACAAATTAAATCTTAAATGGAGCTGTGTCATTTAATAAGTTGAGGAATGGAGGGGGGGGGGGAGCTGGATTTTCAGACGAAAAATAATTTTTCGGAGAACGGCAAAAAAGCTAAAAATAGTGAGAGACTGTTATTAGAGAAACGAGGAAAATTATGCACATTAATTGCCATGTGTGTGTGGCGATTAATGACACAGATGAAACGTTTGTGATTTACGAACTCGGTAGGATTCCTATCATATACAGTAAACACTCTAATGAAGCTCCATTTTTCAAATGTTAGCCAATTTATCTCGTTTCCTGTAAAATAGATCAAAAAGTAGTCGAGCCAAAAAATTTATTGGTATTATGATTAACATTTCATGAGTTGACCACTTTTTGATATCTTTTATAGGAAATGAGATAATTCAGCTCAACGTTGACGGTTTGGGTGGCATTGAAGTGTTGACAGTATATAGATAATCGAGGATTCCTGGGCCAGGCAGCAAAATCATCATTCTCTAAAACGAGAGATTCATGGTATAAAGTTGAAAAGAAAATGAGTAATAGTGACCGAAAAAGGCTTTCGCGGGTGGAGGCGAAATGTAAACTGTTTGTCAAGCTGCATAAATATTTATCTCAATAGCAACCTTTTCATTCCCCCCGACTGTCTTTTGAGACTTTAGAAAAGCACCATTTGCGCGGTTTCATTTGATACTATATCACTGATGAGAGACTCAGGGAGGATGAGAATTCTGGGTGGGGATAGCTCAAGAAAACGAAGATGAAGAAACTATTACAGCGTCGGGGGAATCGGATCAGACACAAAGAAAACACAATACGAATGATAACAGTTGAATCTATTTGACAGAGATCTGCTTGTTCCTGAAAGCTAAAAGTACACAAAAGGGGGATTCAGGGTCTATTCACGTGTCGGAAAGCCAAAAATCAAATGAAAAAAAAAGTTCGCAAAGAAAATGAAACGGAGAAGACAAGAGCTGAATGCAGGAAAAGAGAAATGGAGGAAAACACTTGAAGATAAACTATGGTGGGAATTTTAGAGGGTCCCATAAAAATTTCTCAAACTTTCGCATCAAGGTTATTATGAAGGTCGTTTCATGAAAACTAGAATTCGCAGGAGCGCTGTTAAGATATCACGAGCTCCATATGCTCTTCCTTTAGATTGATCGTTGCCAAAGTAGTGTAACAAAGTTGAAAGGCTCTGCTCAGAAAGTTTAATGCATTTCACACGTTCCTCTCTTCTTTCCCGGTCATCCTAGTGGCCTATGCGCAAACAGAAATGTAGCCACAGACAGGCACCTAATCACTTGGAGAATATTTAATCAGAACAGCAAAGCAAAAATGAAAAAAAGCAATCAAACGAAAGTTATCACTTGAGAAAAGCGGAAAAAACGCTGAAAATAAATTCGATCGTCGAAATAGTACCATTGTGTAAATCGACATTAAAGGTGCGCACCCAAATTTTGTCGTCTGTTTCTTAACACGAATACAGTAATGCAAGACCACATTCGCAATTATTTTTTTAATTCATCCAGAATTTTATTAATTGGAAACACTGTTATTAAAATAAAGAAGTTTAAAAAAAATTATAAACAAAGAACCGGATTTTATTCGACAATTTTCTCCAAAACGTATTTATATTAGAAGCAGGAGCATGCTTCTAAACGAAAAAGAGAGCATTAAATTTGGGACCCGCTCTTTCGACAACTCGTTTCTTCCGACTTACATGGCCATAACTTTTCTTCTTCTTCTTCGCTGCTCCTTTCTTTTGACTCCGCCCACTTTTTGCTCAAAGTTTCACCTCTCTACGTCACTTGCTCAAAGAAGCCGCAGAAAGAGAAGACGATTGACGGAGAAGAATAGGAGAAGGGGCTCTTCGGGAAACGAAGCGTATCCAGGATTTTGAAGACTTCTTACAGCAAAAAAAACGAAAACGACGACTTTGTGAGAGTCTCCAGGGGAAAACCAACGGAGAGCCGTCCGTCACAACCAACTCTCTAATGCGTTTCTCATCTTTACAAGAATGTGGAGAGACATGTAGGCACACTCTTGGAATGTTTATTGTTCATTTCATGGGATTTCTATAATTCCGATTCAGTAATAACAGGGTTTCAGCGGAAAGTTCTCACAATTTAATACAGTACAATAGTTGACATCCAGGTTCAAAGTTTGTTTATTCCTCTCGTCCGAAATCAATGCACGTTGCGGCCGAAAATTCTCAAACTCAAAATCGCATCGTCGGTCACAAAGCGAAGAAACAAATTGATGCATGCGCCTTTAAATACCGTACCTCGGACGTTTTTTATTTTGGGCCCTATTTGGCTGTTTTTTTCTATTTTATAAGAAAAATAAATTAAAGATTTATAAGAATTACACAAAATTAGACAGAAACAAGCGAAAAAATGAGCGAAATTTGAGAAAATTCGATAAATGTTGAGGTACTGTATTAAAGGCGCGTGCAATAATTTGAAAAATACAGTAAGGTTATCTCTGTGGGAGCTAAGCTCCGCCCCCCGTTGTTTTCTCGGCCGCANCGTGCATTGATTTCGGACAATAGTAATATATGTATATTTAAGTTGTATACATTTTTCGATGTATTCAGGTCAAGTTTGACAGTTTTATTATGAGTTTCAGAGTATTTATTTTTCATAGGTGGTCTCTTCAACGAAGTCATCATCGCTTTCCACAAATCCTTCCTCCATTTTTCCTCTTTCCTTTCTCTGCATAGCCAGAACTGTATTTGTCATTTCAGGGAAGCAAAGAATAACTGTTCGTTTCAGCTCATCCTCTTCATGGGGCAGAAGGCAATTTTCTATTTCGATCTTGCCCGTCAATCCATGCGCTGTTCTTGCATGCACAACCATGTTAGACCGATGACGCGTCTTGGCACCGCATCCCTCGACAGGACAGATATACCTGAAATTTGCTCATATAAACTTTTGCTAATATTAGTACGAAGATACCTTTGCAATCCCGTATGAATGATGGCATGATTACTTCTTTTGTAATAGTCAAAGTTGTAAGCCTTGATGTAAGACTCGCAGACATGGCACTTGAATGTTTCGTTTTGTCTTCGTCTTGTTGGTTTTTCTGTTTTACTACCGTTAAACATTGCCGAAGTTTTCATGAGTTCACTGATTGTAGAATACGGTAGTGGTGATTGGGCTGCCGGTTGGATAGTGTCCCAATCTTTGCTCATATCAGTTTGAAAATTATCAACATCCTCAGTTTTCGGAACAATGTTTTGGAAATCGTTTGAAGGAAAGAGCTGGACGTTTCCAAACTGTCTTCTTCATTTCGCTTATCTCGTTTTCTTGAGTCTTCCAAACATAACTTTTTAGCTGGCGACCCTGACTGGTTTATCATTTTGGCAGTAGAATCTGAAAACAGTATAAGTACAATTAGAAATGTCCAATACGAAAAGACACCTTTATGCCCAAATTTAGCGTTTTCGGTACTCCTAGCTCGCCGTATTTCTTCTCTTTCTGCTGCATACTCGCTAATATCATCGGTGATTGTGAACTTCGATTTAGGTCGTGTCATCTGAAAGGAAAAAGTAATTTTTCAGAAAAAAATTTCGGCAACTTTGACTCCACTTCTCTTTGACTACAAAGTCTCTTTGACTACATTTATCTCTTCGACTACACTTGTCTCTTTGACTACACTTTTAAAAATTTTTAAATTTACTGCAGTTTTTGTGGTCGTTCTTGCAGAATATAAGAAGGATTTGAGCCTAAGCCTATAATTTTAAGCAAAAAACTGACAATTCCAAAAATACATCACAGTGAAAAAAGTACTGAAATTGGCGAAAATCAGCAAAATTCTCACTTTTTTTCGCTGAGATTTCCAAAATTTTATTATTTTCTGTACAAATCAAAGGCTTAGGCTGAAACGGTTACCGAAAAACTGGTGTTTTAGCCTAAGCCTATAATATGAGACAAAAATCGGAAACTTCAATAAATTCAGTCAAAAAGTACTATAAAACAAAAAAGTGTAGTCAAAGAGACAAGTGTAGTCAAAGAGATAAATGTAGTCAAAGAGATTTTGTAGTCAAAGAGAATGTGGAGTCAAAGAGTAGGTGTAGTCAAAGAGTGGTGTAGTCAAAGAGTAATTGCCAAAAATTTCGGACTATAATTTACCAAAAAATTGACAACATCTGAGCCATTATCTTGTTCTGGGAGCTCGATAACAATATATCGAGGCATATTAGCTGAATCAATAGTGTACAATTTGAAGAATGGGTAGAAAGGGAGACTGAGGCGGCCGAGGTTGGTAATGGTGGCGAGGAAAAGAGAGTACCATGAAGAGACACGCAGTCGACCAGACAACCATTAAAGTGGCCATGCTAGCCATGTCGCAGTGGACCGCCAGCGCAGCGAAAGCGTATGGGGTGAGAGAAAGAGACATGCGCAGTTTCCCATTCTTCTCCGCGTTAATATTACTCATGTCCGAAAACAATGCACGTTGAGAACGGATGTACATCCATCTAGAGTAACGTGTCGACACAGAGTCGTATCGACACAAGTGAAAAATATCTGAAAAATCGTATCGACGCAAGTCGACACAGAGATCGACTCGTGTCTTGTCGACTCGCGTGTCGTGTCGACTCGAGTCGACTCGTGTCGAATCGACCCGACAGGACACGCCATTTTAAACGCACTCTATTGAACGACAGTTTTTGGAGGGAGTTCAATTTCTTTTGAATTTTAAAGTATCGTATTGTTTGTTTAGCATGATGACCCAACTTTTGCAACTTGAGTTTTCTAGGCCACCATCTTTTTTTGTCTGGAAAGGGTCAGATATGCAACCGGNNGCGTTTTCTAGGTCCTTTTATAGTGGTGGGCTACCTTTTGCAATTTCGGCTTCCCACGCCACCACTTCAAAATGTCCTAAAAATACCATGATATGACCCTGGTGTGTTTTCAAGGTCATTTTATAGTGGTGGC